GTGCTAAAAAATAAGCTTGCATTTAATTATATATAATGCAAGTATATATATAATAAGTATATAATAAAAATAATATTTTTTTAAGTATCATATATCAAAATACTTATATTTTATATTAGTCCTGATGATTATATATAGTCTTTACTTTTCTAATATCATATGCTCTCGTCTAATTAATATGATCATAGTAGTAAAGTCCATAAAAAATATAATAGAGTAAGTTAATCATTTAAATAACAATTATCCATTCAAATTAAACATGTACATTTTATCATATCATTTATATTGTATTATATCATATCATATCACATCTCATCACATCACAACATATTCAATTATACATCTTCTATAAGATAAATACTATATTTCAAATTCAAATACTAACATATGAGAATAACATTTAAAACGATATTCCATCAAATATTCTTTGACTACCAACATTATTCTAATTTTCTTACCCATATATAGTTATTGACAACATTATTACATGTCTTGATATACATATCTTGTAATATCAGGATAAACCATCAATAATCTCTCGATCAACTTTTTGCCTATTAATGTCTTAGTTTACTTGATGGTGTTGGAAAAACAATAATAATAATAATAATCTTGATTTTGATTCTAATTATCAAACATAAACATAATCACATACTGATAAACATGCTGTAAACTGAATGCGAAAGCGTACCTGAATTAGCCATAACGATAATGTCTTTGTAGAGCACTATATTGATTTTATGGTCTTCCATCTGAAGAGCACCTGTATTTCCCTCTTGATTTTCTCTCTTGATGGGGATAGAAAGAAAGGAACGGGACTGATACTTACGTTCTGTGTGTGTGCTCCCAGAAGGGGACCATGACTCTTTAGATAACCAGAATTAGGTTAATTACTTAAGTTTTAGTATTTCCAATTTGGCCCCTCATCAAATTAGAAATTGCTCTATGGTCTCTACACAATTTTATTTTCATGACATATGCCTTTAGCCAAAACTTTAATTTAGTCAGATCATTTTATTATTTGGCTTAATAAATAATGACCCTAACACATTTAAATTATGTATCATATATATACATGACCCAAATTTTGCCAACAGATGGGAGTTATTTGTAAAACATGAGATCTTATTGAATCCACGTTAACATAGCTACCATACTAACATCACACAATATCTCTTAGAATACTTACCTAAACGCATCTCAGTTGATTTTGGATCACATTCCTGATTCAACTCAACCTTACACAAATATATCTTAATCAATTATAAGCCATACTTTTTATTAAACTTAGCCTCAAACCTATAAAATACCACCATATCATTATACATGTTTTTTTCTTTCTTGAGCAAGATTTAGCAACACAATGCTTGCTTGAGTGAGATTTATGTAAACAAATTTCTTGTTCCTACATTGCAGTATTACTTGAGCAAAAAAAAATTAACTTTAGTGAGCTTGCCACCTTGGCTCTAGCTTGAGCTAGATTGTCAACCGTCTTGGTTCTTGCTTGAGCAAGAATTCCTTAGTTGAGAATCGTCACTGTCTTAGACTATCTCTTTCATTGTCTTATTCTTTTAAAAAAGACACATGTTCCCCTTAAGTGAAAAAGAGGTCAAATAGCGAGATTTTCCTAGTGTTTAATATTTTCTCGTCCAAATACATAAAATTACATACCATTCATGTCATAATCATATATAAATTGTCAGATCTCATCTTAAAATCAATTGACATTAAGCGAAGTGACATAACTAACATATAAGATATACCCAAAGAATCAAGTCAGACGATGTGAGACTCTCACTGTAACATGCTCTCTCGACCAAGAAAAATTGAGACATGTAATAACATTACAATAATAAAATAGAACGAAAAAGTCATATAAATAGCTTAGACAAGTCCATTTTGATCACCAACACTTGTTAATCTACATGACCAAATTTTTAAGTCAATATAAGAATATAAGTATAATAATAAAATTAACTTGTCTACGAAAGAAAAAAATAATTTTATTTATAAGATTTTTACTTGTAAGTAATAATTTATATTTATTTAATATTAATTATTATATTTTTAATATTATTGAGTAATTAGATATATTTATTGTATATTATTATCATAATATATATTTAAAAAATTTAATTAAAAGAATATTTTCATAATTAATATAATAAATACAAAAAAATACCAGGCTGAATAATCATTCATTTCTATAACATCAAAAATACTTTCATAAAAACATTTCATAACACATACAATCTAGTTACAGCTACTTGAATAACTAACTTCCTTTTACATAACCCTAAATTCTAGCTTTTTAGGTAATTATGGTGTCCAAGGTCAAGTCTCCTACTTTAATACGTGGGTAGCATGCTCGTATAACCATAATGATAAATTTCACTCACTGATGTCAAAACAATTTATCCGTTGAACAATTTGATTGGACAAATTTATTCCATATCATTTTCTTATTTAAGTTTCACAAGAGTTTTTAATACACTTAAATTTGAAAAAAAAAACTATAAAAATTATTCAATTTAATCTTTTATTTATAAAATTTTAAAAGAAAAAAATATGTTTATATTAAAAAAATCAATAACATTACAGTTAATATATTTTTCAAAAGAATGTATTTAAATAATTCGAACATTACACCATTTTTTTTTACCTTGCACGAAGGTGGAAGTTAAATACTAATCTCTTTAAATATTAAGAGTTAAAATATTGAACTCTCTAACATATGTTTTTCACACACATATATCTAATCATATTACTAATCACATGCTTAAAATTTGAAGTATTCATGAGCCATATAACACTGTAATAATATTAAACATTTAACCTAATTAATCAAACATAACTTTATTTTATATATAATTACAATTAAACATTTTAACTCTACTAATCAAACATAACTTTATTTTTTTCAAAAGTATTAAATTTTAAATTTAAACGTGTGATTTTGTAAAAAAAAAATTCAATGAAACATTAACTGAATGAAATAAATAATTATTTTGTAGTTCTCTAAGGGTATTCAAAATAGTTGGAATATAATAAATTCTAAAGGTTTCAAAATTAGTTTTTTTTTTTTTTACAATAAAAAGGATTGTGTTTGAAACTAAAGCAAGTTAATATAAAATCCAACTACCATATCCTAGGAGGATAGGACTGAATTAACTCCCCAATAGTGATGTTATAGCTTCAATAAACTAATTGAGGGTTTGATTATAATGGCTCACCTTCCATTCCATTAATTAACCTCCTTTTTAATTGTTTAGTGGTGAATCAATCAAAAAATCAGATTCATAATTTTTTTATTTTTATTAGTTTAACTTAAATTTCATTTAAATATTAATTTTTATTAGCATTAAAGAAATTAAATAGATAAAAGAAAGTAATAATAATATATAACAAGAAATAAAAGTATTTTTGTAAATATTAAAATCTAAAAATAAAAAATTAAAATTTAAAACTGATTTGTGGCCCTCACAGTAATAATGGTGGGGAAGTGTAGGGCCATTTAAAATTAGCTAGTTAAAGCTCACATAGTTTGCATGCTTGTTTCTTCAAAATTAGGATAGGGGACCCCACTGCTGACTCCAGCACTTAGGAAACTATTAAAAATAACAACATACCAAATAGAATGTAACAATCCAAACCCAATTAAAATATTCAATTGGAAAGATCAAGGTAGTTTTAGAAAGATAGTTTCTCAATGATTCCTTGTTGCAATAACTAGGGCTATAAAAAACAACCTTAAATAATTCCAATGTCTTTTTCTATTAATAAAATAATACTAATAATAATATTATTATTTTAAATTATTATATGTAGGGTAGAAGTCGGAGAGCACGTATAAAGTACTCAAGTTTATGCAAAAGGTTCTACTTATGAATGTATATAATTAATGAACAAGTGATATTTTCTAAAAAAATATCCTGATGATAAAAATATCATTTTTCAAAAATAAATTACATGTAGAACTAAGATATGCATATTTGTATCACCACAAAACATGTGTTCCAATTTAAATTTAAATTTTATTGGTACAATATTTAATTTCATTTTAGTCAATCAATTTCTTATTTTGTTGTTTTTTTCTTGAAATATTTACATAAATAGTAATTACATTAACAATATAAGAAGTGTTTATATTGTTATTTATTAATAACGGTTTTATGTATTTAATTTAAGTTGTTAAACGTTATCCAGGATTGACTAATCTTTTCTTAGATGGATCACTAAATAAATTTAATATTCTCAAAATATTGTAACTGAAATCAAGAGACCGATCTTACAACATTAATTAATTTTAAAAATGAGAATGTCCAATCATTTAGATAAACAACATCTGATAGATAAATTTTCACCAGTTGATTGTACAAAAAATATATTCTTTATTACCCACTTTCTGTATTTTATATTAATGGTTGTTTTTAATATTTAAGTTTTCAGATTTTCAAGAAATATCAAAATTTATATTTTAATTTTATTCTCTAACAAATATTGATATTGATAAAAGACAAGAAAGAAATATAAATATTTTAGTAAAATTGTCCTTAAAAAAGAGTAATATTTTTTTTTTTTGAATCTAAGAACTTAAAAACTCAAGTAAAAATAAGATGGAGGGAGTATTAAAGAAAAGCAACTTGGAAGAACAAAAAACATAAATGAGAAAGAGACGGAGAAGAGAGAGACAAGTTATTGGCAACTTTAATTTCCAAATTTATGTAAATTTCGTTTTGATTCGTGGGTTTCTTTTGCGGGGTCTTTCCTCTTTGTTCTTTCTCTCTCTCTCTCTGAGAGAAAGCAAAATCTTCATTGAGAGAATGGCCCAGCACTGCGGATCCAAATCCCCATTCTTTTCTGCTTTTCTAAGGCATCTCAGAAAGCAAAAGATCACTTTTTGATTCCTAACCTCTTCTGGGCCTCTCTCTTCTTGCTTCAACATTAATGCCTTTCTTCTCCTTCACCATCTTCTTCAAAGTATTCACCATCATCAAACAATGACTCATCACGTGAGTGAGTGAGTTTATTTTTGTTTCTCTTCAATGATGTCATGTTTCTTCAACATTTTATTGGTCAATTTCCCTTTACTTGTTTTTAAATTTTCCTCTCTGTACTACTTTTCAGTGGCTTCTTCTTTCTAGTGTTGAATTTGACTGTATGTTTTTTTTCCTTTTCACACAGAACTTTGTGTTTCAGTGATTGATGTAATTGGGTTAAGTTGTATACTCTTCCTTCCATGTCTTTGTGTTTGTGTGAATGAGATACTCTTGAGTATTCTTCCTGTTGCTTTTTTGGTACATCAAATTATTTTCATGGACCTTCTTTCAGTTTTGAGAATAAATACTTGTTTATTTTATTTTATTTTATTTTGTTTTGTGTCGTTGGCTTGATTATCTGATGGATGGATTTGATACCCTTGTCTGGAGCATCTGATTCTGATTGCAAAAGATTATTTGCTTGTGGGATTTGTCTCACATAGTTTTCTGATGGACTTGATACCATAACATTCGGCCTAACTCTATCTTATTCAGAAACTTCTTTTGACCACCCCTGATGCTTCTGTGCTTTTCCTGCTGTTTATGCCGTGCTTATCATTATCTATTCTTTTGATTATCATTAATAGTGTGTGCAGAGTGGTCTTCTTTCCCGGTTCAATGATATACTTGTGAGTGTTGGTTTTGGGGTTTCTTAATTTCTGGTTAAGAAATATTTGCACTTTTGTGGATTGTATTTTATTGAAGTGAAAACATATGATATCATAACTTAAAAGTGCAAATCCCCTTTTTGAGAAAGCCAATTGTGGTAAAAATTGGTCACTTGTTTCGGGGGGCTTGTGCTTATCAACTTCAATTTGAAATGCTTCTCCAACCAAGGTAGTTTTGTATTTCTTTCTGTTGTCCATATACAAAATGCTTATAACCGAATCAATTTTTTCTTAAAAATTTATATGTTTTCCTTTTGAGGGCAATGGATGATAGGAATTTAATTTCTTACCCTCCTACATGCGTTCATCATTTCTCTTTGCGGTTTGCCGTGTAGCCTATTTATTTTCATATTTGGGTGATGGAGGGGATTACTTTTGGCCAAATTATTCTGAGAATATATACTCCTTGATGATATCGATTTTTCTTTTTCTTTTCTGGTTCTGACGTCTAGTAATCTGTTGTCTGTAGACTTATGCAAAATTCATACTATATTAGATTAAATATGTGCAATGTGTATTCCTCATGAGTGCTGAACATTTGATATTAAATTGCTTAATAATGTAGCGCATGATGATTAAAGTTGGCTTGTTGCAGTTTTTGTTCTCTTTCTGTTTTCCTGTTGTGCAGACGGATTCATATTTCTTTGCAGGTCTTTAATACTATGATATCATATGAAAATGTCTTGATCGAGAATTATTCTGTCTTCACAACTTTTTTTTTTTTTTTCAGATAATCTAGCTCTAAAATGAAATTCCCCTGTATGTCATAAAAGCAATTTACAAAACAGTCCAATTGGGTGCACATATACATATATTACTTGGAGCAATCACTTAACTTATGAACCAATAATCTTGTATTCTCTGTAAATAAAAACCTATGAGACCAAAGTAAAGCAGGGATCCCTTCTTTTTGGGCTTAAATTGTATTTGTTTGTTTTAAAATTATTGATCAAATATTCTTTTAAAAATTTAACTAATAATCAATTTAGTTTGTTTTGATTGCAGGTTTTCATTCCCTTAGAAATGAGGATACTTTATAATATCTTGTTTAATTGAAACCCCTGCATTATCATCTATGGCACTATTGGGCATGAGTTCAAACAGGCAAAACAATGGCTATATCCCAGGATATCATTCCCCAAGGGATCTTGTCTTTGGTGCAGAAAGCAGCACATGGACCTCATCGAATTATAACGGTGAACGTGACAATGACTGTTATGGATTTGGATCCTTGCCATTGACATCAACTTGTCATCTTTTTGGATACAATAAAGAACTTCTGAAACAGACAATACTCAAGCATGAGGCCGTATTCAGGGACCAAGTATGTTAGCTTCATGGTTTGATTTGTGTTTATTGTCTTGCTCTTTTCTGCACATAGCTGCCAAGAGGAATTTCTTTTTATGTTTTATTAAAAACATAATGAATGGTTGAAGGAAAACTTCTTGACGTGAAAGCATAACCCGATATCTACACAAAGTAACAATTTTTATAAGCTTCCTATTTCAGTCTTCATCAAACACAAGATTAAACATTTATCATCTGCTGTTTCCTGAAATCCTGACGTTGTGTTACTCTAGACTCTCAGGGATTTTGAAATGGCAGTGAAGGGGTTCCAATGTAACCTGTTTGGGTCAGGACTAGGTTCTATAAGAAAAAAATATTATTCATATTTGTTTATTTATTGATTATAAACGTGAGGCTCAAAATAGGAATCTTATTCAGAATAGCAAATGATTCAGAAAATTCCATCTAATTCATTCATTTTACTGTATATTTGTCAAAAAAATTATTTCCATCCTTCTTATTTCATGCAAAATGGAGAAAAAATTATAGAGGTTTTTTGTTTGTGGCAAAAATATTGTTCTCCAATTTTCTTGGATAGTCTTAAAGATCGTAACTGTATTTCTTAATGATTCTGACCTGTTCATTGCTGTTCAGATTCATGAGCTTCACCGCATTTACCAGAAACAAAGAGAATTAATGGATGAAATTAAAAGGGTTGAGTTACACAAACATAGTTTAAGGTTGGAGACATCATTGTCAAGTTCCTCTTTGTATTACTCACAAAACTTGAGTTGGTTCACTAGTCAATCATCTGTTTTAAATGCTGAAGGCATGCAGTTACCATTGGCTTCTATGCAAGAAAAGAGCAGGCGATTATGTCCTACTCCTCTTCCTGCAATTAAAGAAACTCCAAAAGATCCTAAACTATCAGGATCAGCGTACAGAAAAGTTGGTAAGAAAATATTGGATCTTCAACTTCCAGCTGATGAGTACATTGATAGTGAAGGTGAATCTTGTGACAAAGAAAGGGTTATCAAAGAGCCTCCACTGTCATCTTATACTTTAAATGGAATTTCTAAGGTTGTCTTAAACAGTGTTGATAAACCATTTGGAACCAATTCTAATGGTTTTGCAGACTTAAATTTACCATTTAAGCTTGCAGAAGAGACAGGTGTGATGTATGATGATTTTGGTGCCTCAATCCATCACATAAACTATACCTTTCATGATATGCCAGGGAGAATGAGATCGGGCTCTCATAGTTTGCCCAATGATGTCATCCAGAATTTGAAAAGGAAACAAGATCTTGAAGCGTGCTTAGATCCCCCACTACGAAACCAGGGGGAAAAACATGGACAGCTGCCCTCGGATAGTGGTGCTGGTGAGAACTTGTCACTGAAGTTGCTTTGTAGTAATTATAACTTTTCTCATGTTTGGCTATAACTTTTTCTTATGCAATGAATTGTTAATTTTACAGGGCAGAAAGGTGGAGACTTGAGTTTCACTAGTAAGAAGCAAAAACAAGTTAAAAATTGTCCATGTTTTCATTGGACGCATCAAATTGTCTCAGGACTGGGGACCGATAGTCTTGCAGGAACTCATAATCCCACCAGTCGTGGCTGGCTTGGACCAAGCTGTGCTTCATGTGCTTCTCATCAGCTTGTTTCTGCATCTGAAATGAAAAGTTCTACGATTTCAGCATCAGTGTTATGGAAAACTATTGCATCTGGCTCTAAGTTAGATACCAATCTGTTGGATCTACCATTGATCAGTAGTACTGGTGATCTAAACCGTTGCGGTAACCATTGTTCATCATCAGCTGGCCATGAGCTCAGGAAGTATGTTAAGGACTCAGAGTATGTGGAGACTCACAAGAACATAAACCTGAATATTACGCCTGTTGGTTTTTCTGATACAAAAGTTGCGGAATTTCAAAGCATCCGGATTACAGGTGAAGATGATAAATTTCAGGATTCAAGATTGCCTTGGGTTAAAGAAAAGTCTGTACCCAAAAGAGAACCCAATGATGAAAGTCAAACCTCAATCCCTATTGATTCTTTCCTTCTGAATCCTTGTAAATCTGGGTGTATACATTCTGATTTAAAGTTGAATAAGGTTCAAAAAAGTGGCTTGTGTAGAGACAAGACTCTTGTATTTGACCTAAATGGAAAACCTCAGACATCCAAAATCGTCCAGGGCCTCTCCAATGTAAATTCACCTTCTGATGGTTATACTGACATGAGGGAACAGGCATCTACCAGTGAGCATTTCATGAAGAATGAGAAGAAGCACAAACATTCGTCAGGTATTCTAGACCTAAATTTGTGCACAATTGAAGATGAGAATATGCCAATTGGTATTGATTTACAAGCACCTGCAAGTCCAGAAAACAAGGAATGTTCTCCACCCAGAGGAGAATCTGATGAAAACCAGCTTGAGATGCTCTTGCAATTGGCAGGGCAGGAGCAGCAGGATCCAAAAGCACGAGATGAGCAAGCCAGAATTGCTGCTGAGGCCTTGGTTTCCATATCAGAAACTGTGACTTATAACGTTATCCAAATGACAAATTGCCTATCATCTGAATCTTCTGTAAGTAGTTCTCTCCATTGGTTTGCTGGAATTGTTTCTGCAGTAGTGGATCATTCAGAGTCTTCTGAGGTTAAGGAGGATTTCAATTGTACCATTAAGGATCTTGAGGACTTTCTGCCTGCTGACTTTGATTACTTTGAGTTCATGTCCTTAAATTTGAGTGACACCAAGGACTTAGATTATTGCCACTACAAGAGTAGTGGCCAAAATGAGCAAGAAGGTGGATCTACTTCTCCAACTCAACCAAGAAAGTTCCGAACAAACAGGAGGAGGCGGGGGAATGACTTCCAAAATGACATTCTCCCAAGCCTTGCTTCTTTGTCGCGGTATGAGGTGACAGAAGATCTTCAAACCATTGGAGGTCTTGTGGAAGCTGCCAGAAGAACTCACTCTGCAGCAGGTTGCCTAAGAAGTGCAGGCAGAAATGTAGTAGCTAGGGGGAAGAGAAGGTCTTGCGGTTCATCATCTAACATCACAGGCTTGCTTTTGAACTTGAAGGAACTAAATATTGACCCTGAATTTACCATTAAGAAAATGGGGTTCATAAGTTGGGGAAAGATTTGTAGAAAGCCAAGGGGGAAGAGATTTCCCACTAGTAAACCCCACTTAATTTTTAGCCAAGTACATAACTAATTCTATAGTTAAGTTCATGGACTTTTGGATGAAATTTTTATGAACTATAGGATCCTCTTGTAAATTTCGTCATAGACACTTCATAGTATATGAGATTATGTTAGAAGAATAGAAATGGAACTCATGTATGTCCAAGTTGCTTATTGGAATCAAATTCATTCTCTCCTGTACTGGGGATGCAATGACTGTTTGTTGCATTTTGGATCTCCTTAAAGTCGAACAAAATATAAAAGCAAGCAACTTTATACCAACACATATAATACTAGAGTACTATTGATGAATTATTATTATTTTTTTGCATTTTTTTATCTTTCGTCTTTAAAGCAAAAAAAGAAAAATATATAAAACAAGTAACTCCGGGTTAAGACATATAATACTAGAGTATTATTGTTCAATGACTTTGAAATGGGAAAGTTTGTCATTGATTTTTTTTTTTTTTTTTGTACTTTTTTATTCATTTATTTAGAAGGTACTAAGGTTAAATGAACTCTTAAATATCCATGATAATAAGACTGTTTTCGAAAATTTATCACTGTAATAATAACGGTGTTGCTTGAGTGAACTAATTTATAGTGAAAAAATATGGTATGATATTTAGTATGTATTTTGCTTGAGGATAAAAACAAGACTATATATACATCTCCTTTTGGAACATTTGTTTATTCAAAAAATTGTCATTTGATTTATATAATGCTTCCAATACATTTTAAATATGTAATTTTCTTTTATTTAACTGAGAATGTATTGAAATATTTATGAAAGATTTTTTTTATGATTATTTTTGGATATTTATTAGATAATTTAAATAAATTATTAAAATTATTAAAAAATATTTTGAAAATAATTTTAGTTTAAATTATGAAAAATATCATTTTATAATAAAATAATATTTTATTTTTAAGTTACATTATTTTAAAAATGATATTTGACAATAATAAACGGTCACACAAAATATTGATTAAATAAATAAATAAATTATTAAACTAACGTAATAACTCATGTTGAATCTTACAATGACATAACTATAAAAATGTACTAATTACCACAAACCATAAATAGGGGAAGTTGATTATAATAAAGTAAAAAAGTGAATAAAATAAATTGATGTAGAATAATAAAAAATTAAAATCAAATTGTAGTAAAATGATAACGACAATTAAATTGAAACAGAATTTAAATAGCTGGAATTTGTGAAATTTAAATAGAGTACTTTTAGTTAAATTAAAAAATTGTCAGAATAAAATGCAGAATAAAAATTTATATTTAAATAAAATAGTGCAACAATTAAATTTGTTTGAAAGTGATAAACTTGAAATTAAATTGAGAATTGCATGTGAAACTAAGTAATAAAAGAAATCCGAACAATAAAAAAAAGAATTCAAAAATTAAAATTTGTCTGTAAGGGAAATTACGAAAAAACAGTATAATTAGATTTGAAAAAGACATAAATTAAAAATAGGAATTAAGCGGTACTGAAATAAAATAAAAAATTTAAACAATTAAATAACATAAATTAAAATAAGCACTAAATAAATAAAGTAAATAGATTAATATAAACTAAAAATTTCAATAGATATTATAAATTAAATAAATGAGAAAAAATCGAAAATGCAGTAACAATATATGAGTTCACTTAAAAATCGGAAGTAAACTAAAAAGTGATAATGGAAAAGGAAAGGGGACAACACAAAATAGTTCGTCCCGGAATAGGAGATTATGATTGTATTCTCATCATACTGTCATTTATAAGGAATTGAACAAGTTAAATTAAACTTAAAATTAATTACAATAAAATAAAATATTTTACAAATTAAAAATTATAAAACTGGATTGTTCTGAGGATAAATTTCTGTGACTGATTTTGAGAAAATAATATGATTCTTCCTATTTTGAGTTATCCAACAATGATTTGTATTTAATTATTAAATCTTGCTGGCCTTTAATTAAGTTAAATTGGATTCTCACACCAATTAATTTACTTGATTTAAAATTTCTATATATAATATTCTTCAAGTAAACTGCTCAAGTAAATTTGGATTTTCAAGAAAAATAAAACTCTCGTGCATTGATCTAAATTTTTATTTCCATTAATTCCACTCATCTCAAATTATCTTTCTCTTATAAAAAAAATAATTATAATTATATATAGCCTATGTTAATATTGATTAGAACTTTGGCATATTTTGCAATTATATAAGTTATTTATGCTTCAATTTTTTTAAATAGTACTTTGTCATCAACCTACTAATAGTTTGGGTTTGCAAACTCATCTCTTTTAACAAATAAAAATTACGTCCTTAATGTTGGAGTATAGTTTGTGTTTTACTAAGTTTTATTTTTTTTAATCAAATTTATGCAGATTTTGAATAAAAAAGTGTTTGTAGTTTGGATTTCAACATATATTTATTAAAAGCAAACCAATGTGGAGACTTCCCCTGCAAGTTAACCATTTTTAGTTGTTTTAGGTCACCTAATTATTTGGTGGGTCTTTGTGGAAGGAATAGGGGAATTACATGATTATTTGTTTTTGCTAACACATAAAAACTTCATCTTTGTTAGAAAAGTTGATGTGTTAGGAAAAAGTTAAAAATCACTAAAAAAATTAACTATAATGATATAAATATTTATCACTAAAAATTATGAATTCATCACTATTAATATCTTATAACAATAATTTAATTGTCACTTATATCATGTCACTAATGTAATTATAATAATATTTTTAAATATCACTAAAATTAAGCTTTATAGTAACAAAGATATTTAACACTAATAATTATATATAATAGTAATAATAATAAATTGTCACAAATATAATACATAATAGTGATAAATAAGTAATCACTATTAAAAATTTATAAAAAAATAATTATTGCAATATCACAAATGTTTTAAAAATACAATAATAAATTAATTATTATTTATAATTTATAGAAATAATTATTATTAATTTAATGTCGCAAATAAATAATAGTAATTATTTATCATTATTATAATTTATAAAATAATAATTATTATTATTTTAATTTCAGAAATATATATATATATATATATGAATAAAGATAATAATAAATTAATTATTATTTTTTATATTTTTTATACTAACAATAATAAGAATAATTTTAATATTAATCTTTGCTTGTTATTATTAATTTTTAAAATTATTATTTAATCATTAAATTATTAAATATAAATGATATACAAGTCTTCTAAGTTTGCTTAGTTATAATGAATAAATAAATTATTTTGAAATATTAAAATAAACAAATATGTAAACATAAATTATCCATTACATTATTATAAATGATAAAAACTAAAACACAATTGTAGACCCCTAATTTTGCCCGGCCTCTCAATAAAAGCTAGGGAAACTTCACACGAAGATAAAGATCGCCCAGCTTATCAATAAACACCAAGAAGACCTCCTACAACCACACGGAGTTCATCCAATTTCTCGACAAAGGCCAAAGAGACCTCCTATAACGAAGATAAAAGTTCGTCCAGCATCTCAATAAGGGTCAAGAAGACTTCCCATATGAAGATAAAGCTTCCATGGACATCTATCGGCATCAACCAATGTCCAAAAATAGCAAGGAAAGCTTCCCAGAGGTCCCAGAACACAAAAACAGGCTAGAATAGCTTGAGACAGCAGTCCCAAATGTGGGACGGCCGTCCCAAACTTCCTGGGACAAGTGAGAAGCCCGTCCCAATGTCGGGATGCCCGTCCCAAGCCACAAATTCAAGTGGGACGGTCGTCCCAAAGTCCAGACGGCCGTCCCAACTCCCTGAGACGCTCGTCCCTGTTTTCTGAGTCCCGGACGGCCGTCCCGAGGTGCTAGGCTGCGAAAACTATAAATAGGGGGCTCATTTGCTCATTTTTCACACTCCAGACAACTCAGAGCACTTGTCTACTTCTCTCCCTCCTTCGAATGATCTTTCTGATTGCCTTAAATAGGTAACAATCAGTTAAGGAATTATATTCCAGCATTCGATTCTTCTGTAAAATTTTAGTCGAGTCGAGTTTAGTCGTGAGGAGAGTCGTTGTAGAGCGAGGGACTGCCGAAACGCGTCCTTATTGTAAAAGAGTTGCTATATAAAGCTTGCTACGGAGGTTCTTTTCACATCTCTTCTCTTTTACTGCTTTATTTATTGCTTTATATATGAAATGTAAATAAAATCATGTAGATAGCCATATTTAAATATTGTACGAATAAAATAGGGTAATAGCGTAATTTCTTGTAATCTTCACTTAAATGAATTAATCCGTCATAGGGAACCCGAAAGGGGCGTTGTGGGGTGCTAACACCTTCCCCACACGTAACTAACTCCCTTACCCAACTCTGGTTATAATGGCCAAGTGCAGTTTTTATAAAAATCAACACTTTTTTCCTTTTCCAATGTTTAAGGTCAAAACATTGGTGGCGACTCCAAAAAGAACCCTTTTTTTCGAAAACCTTGCTTCTATTAGAGGATAGTTCAGTTGTTGAGCACCTCGGAAGCAATGAACATATTTTAAACATAAAACGCGAGTCTAAACCATCTTTTCGCGACCGCTCGCATAAACGTTCGAGATGTCCCTAGACGTCGGCGACAGATGGCGACTCCACTGGGGAAGCTAGAGAGTTGATCCCATTTAGTGACGGATAAATTCAAACTAAGTAAAGATTTGAAATTACGCCTTTACCCTTTTCTGTATTTTTATTGTATGGCTTTAATAATTGCTGTATGATTATTTCTGCAAATTGTTTAAAATATAAATTGCACACAAAAACCCTTGCACACAACAGTCCCTCTATACCCGGGGGCAAGAGTGAATACCTATAGGGAGTGGGTGGCAGATACAACCGGCTTGTTGGCACACGGGGCTACAACCATTGTCGGAAACCACCAACTTAAGGTGATAACTCTCTTCTTTTGGTCTAAGGATGTCGACACGGAGTTCCGTGCATGACCCGAGGACTGAGAGATTGAGAGGTCCCTATAATGGGGGCACCTTGGGG